CTGAGAATCACAGTACGAAGCCAGCCCTGGCAAGAAAATCCGTGACATTCTTCTACAATTAAGCACACATGCACACACAAAAAGCTAGAAGTGGAGCTGTGGCTCACGTGGAAGAGTACTAGTCTTGAGAGGAAAAAAAGCTGGGTGCTGGAAAGGTGGCTCAGTGGTAGAGCGCTTGCCTTGCGTGCATGAGGCCCTGGGTTCAATTCCTCAGCACCACATAAGCAAAAAGAAAAAAAAGCCGGAAGTGGCGCTGTGGCTCAAGTGGTAGAGTGCTAGCCTTGAGCTGAAGAGCTGAGGGACAGCACCCAGGCCCAGAGTTCAGGCCCCAGGACCGGACCCAAAAAAAAAAAAAGCTCAGGGACAGTGCCCAGGCCCTGGACTGGCAAAAATGGAAGGAAGGAAGGAAGGAAGGAAGGAAGGAAGGAAGGAAGGGGAAACAAAGCTGTGGATCACGTGATGTTGGAGTTCATGGAATTGGAAATTATTAAAGATATTTTTATAAAGAAAGAGTTGGTGAGGTATGTAAGTTGCTTGCAAAAATGAAGGGCTTAAAAAGAAAAATGAAGGGCTTGGTTGACAATGATAGAAATCCAAGCCATCAACCACAGACTCCATAATGGAGAGAATGGAAAGCAGTCAACAACAGAAAATGTCAAGGTAATTAAAATGTAAGAATTTAGGGGAGGGGGAGGGGGGAATGGAAAGGGATGGGAAGGAGAAAGAAAGGAGGAGGCAACAATGCTTGATAAGAAATGTACTCATCTTGCCCATTTAATTGTAACCCCCTCTGTATGGTATTTTCACAATTAAAAAAAGAGAGTTTAGGGGAGCTTGAAAAAGAAATGTGCTTTTTTTTTTTGCCAGTCTTGGGGCTTGACCAGGGCCTGGTGCTACTCCTGAGCCCCTCTGCACTCAAGGCTAGCATTTTACCAGTGGAACTACAACACCACTGCTGGCTTTTTCTGAGAAGTTTATTGGAGATAAGAGTACAGACTTTTTTTTTTGCTGGAGCAGGCTTCAAACCTCAATCCTCAGATCTCAACCTCCTGAGTAGCTAGGATTACAGGCATGAGCCACCAGCGCCTGGCTAAGAGATGTGCTTTGTTTGAGGTTGTCAATTGTGTTTGTAGCATCCTCCTGAGGAATACCAAGATATCGATGTAACACAAGATCAGCTACTAGAAAGAAATGAAGGTAACAAGTTCAAGTGTGGGCAATTCAGTCCGCTAGGCATGGATCCCTGGAGAGATAGAAGAAGTAGAGAAACCTCTAAGTCAAGTTTCAAAGTCTTTATTGAAGGCTGAAGATCAACCAGAAGGGCAGAAGTTGAGCACACCAAAGGATGGGAGGTATAACACTAAATACAAAACATGAAGAAAATTAAATGTCAGCTTGTCAGCTGGCAATGCATTTTGTTTTTCGCTTTGAAGTAACACTCTTGGCAGTAAATTTTATTGCTATGACAATAAAGCACAAATGGCTATTAATCCCCATCAGAGAAAAAGATTCCTGGCAGTGTGATGATTTTAAAGAAAATAATCAGATCTTCTTTAAGCTTGATGGCTTATTATTTAGTGTAAATCAACCTAATCATGCAGTAAAATGACCTTCTACATGACATAGGATTACATAGCAAAATTAAACATAACTTCGTTGTTTTGGTTTTTTGTCGGTTGTGGACCTTGAACTCCAGACCTGGGCGCTGTTCCTCAGCTATTTTTGCTCTCAAGATTAGCACTCTACTACGTTGAGCCACAGAGCCATTCACAGTTTTCTGGTGGTAAATTGGAGATAACAGTCTCCCAGACCCTCTTACCTGGGCTGGCCTTGAACTTCAATCCTCAGACCTCAGCCTCTTGAGTAGCTAGGATATACAGGCATGAGCCACCAGTGCCTGGAGATAAATATTTTATAGGCTCAGAGCACACAGGCACTGTGCCAGGCACCTTTTCTATGTCTCACCTTGGGCTTGGACTCTGCTCTCCTCCTGGGGCAGGCAATGATTAGTGCTAAGTGACTGAATGATGACTACATGGAAACATCTAGAAGCTTATTTATCATCCATTGCAGCAAATACCAATTCCAATGCCTTCTTTTTTTCTGATCGGCATCGATTCTCTTCCCCCTAATATCTAAATTTCCATTTCCATAAGTGGCTGCATTGTAAGATTGTTAGAGAAGACATTACTTAAACCAATGGCAGCAGGTTAAGCACTGGGAGGTTAAGCACTTGGGACTCTAATCTGGCAGGTCTATGCAGGGAAGGATAGGAACCATTTTGGTGTTTTGAAGCAGCTTTAATCCCTTACACACCAATTCTACATGATCAGACTTCTCTGAACACCCTATTACTATTGGAGAGCTGTACATTCAGCATTACCTAATTTCCTCATAAATCTCTTGCCTTTTAATCAGCTAAGTGGCTATCTGCTGCATTTCCCTTGATTTATTGATATCTTTTTGAGGGCGCTGAACATCTGCCCAGGGACTAAGTGGTTCAATTGGACAAAATGGCACATCACCACTATAATGGCAGCAGAGTCCTGACCAGACAGAAGAGATCTCACGGGGACAAAGAGAGACAACATCTTTAAAGGGAAAACTCCACTACTGCAGAGAATGTGGCATGCCAGCCTAGTTTTTCTGTAAGCACCTTCCTACAGCCCTCACAACAGAAGAAATTGCACTGGTTGGCTGAGCAATCCTCAGGAGCCATGGCCGCCTGGAAACTGGCTGACTGACCACAGGGTCCCCGCTACCCTGAGAGGTTAAAATCCTGGATTCTTTCTCCACTGGAACCACCAAACTCTATGTAAGCCACAAGAAGGTGCTTCAACTCTTAGAGCGCAGTGTTTCAACCGTTCACCCCTACTCAGGCCAGTCCTGATCAAATACTTTGGGAACACTTGGAAAACAAAACACTTTGGCCAGGTACTGTGGCTCCTGTCTGTAATTCAAGCTACTTGGAAGGCAGAGATTAAGAGAATTTAGAAGGTAGCCCAGGCTTCCCCGCCCTCAACAACAACCACCACAACAACAAAAATTAGCAGCGCTCCATCTTAACAAGTTAGGTGTGGTGGTACATACCTGTCATCCTAGCTACATTGGAGGCAATAAGGATCATGGTCAAAACAAACAAACAGAAAAGTAAAAATGGTTGGGGAGGTAGCTCAAGTAGTCAAGTGCTTACCTAGTAAGTATGAGTCCCTTAGCAGGAAGGAAGACAAGAAGGAAGGAAAGAAGGGAAGGAAGGAGGGAGAGTGGGAGAGAAGGAGGGAGGAGGAAAAGGAGGAAGGAAGGAAGGAAGGAAGGAAGGAAGGAAGGAAGGAAGGAAGGAAGGAAGGAGAAGGAAGGAAGGAAGGAAGAGAGGGAGGGAGGGAGGGAGGGAGGGAAGGAGGGAAGGAGGGTAAGAAGTAATATGCTAATCAAACCAAAAGTCTTCAACAAAAAGCCAAATATTTTATTTTTGGGGGGAGTCCAGTCGTGGGGCCTGAACTCTCAGCCTGGGCACTGTCCCTCAGCTCTTCAGCTCAAGGCTAGCACTCTACCACTTGAGCCACAGAGCCACTTCTGGCTTTTTTCTTTTTGCTTATGTGGTGCTGAGGAATCGAACCCAGGGCCTCATGCATGCAAGGCAAGCGCTCTACCACTGAGCCACCTTCCCAGCCCCAAAGCCAAATATTTTAATAAAACCCTATTTTTGATTGTTTGACACTGTCTGTGGTGGGGAGAGAAAGCAAACAGTGGTTTAGAAATGGCAGATTTAACAGAGACTAGAGCTATTTCTCTCAAAAAAAGAAAAAAAAGCCATTGTGAACATTTAGAATGTGAAAGCATTCTCGCTCTGAAGTTTCCTCCAGCCCAGCTAGTCTCCAAGTGTTGGGGACCTCAACCTTGCAGGAGGTATGACTCCTAAAAGTTGGAAGTAAAGTCTTGAAAATATTGAGTCAATATCTACACGAAGAGCCAGGTAAATGAAGAAAACCCAGTGGCTGGGTTTCCATGAATTCAAATTGCTTTAATAATATGAATACTTCCTCCAAATTTCTTCCCCCCCCCCAAAGTTTACATGGAGTTTTCTAAGAATGGCGCCCAATATGTTGATCCTCTGACACCTGCTACAAGTATAAGCTACCACTCTGTATTGCAGAATGTCAATAAATCTCACAGCATTGCATAGATTTGTTACAAACTAATATAGTATCCTTTCTTAACAATCAGGGGCTTCCAAGGCCTGGAGCCGGGGGAGGGGAGGGTGTAGGGGAGTGTTACTCTTCTCAGAGATATCATTCATTTGTGTCTTCATGTTCATGGCCTTTCTTAGCAGTTTATAGAAACAAAGTGTTCTCCTTGCTGTGACAATTGGAAGGAATATTTCGCTTTCTGGGCTGCAAGGGAACAAGATGAGATTCACAGGAAGCATTCCTGCAAATCATGAAAAAACTGTTTTTTAAAAGAACAGTGTCTGCATCTTTGCTCTGGTCCAAGAACTCTCACAGTGTGTAGTGTAGAGCTCAATGGAGTTGGAATGCAGCGTTCTCTGTAACTTGAAGTGAAGGAATGAAAGTGGCTGGTGAGGGGCAGGGGGAGATGGAGGAGGGGAATGATGAGGGAGGAGTAGGAGGGGGAAAGAGGAGGAAAAAAGAAGAGCAGAATGAAAGAGGAAGAGGAGGAAGAAGAAAAGAAGAAGAGAAAGAGAAGGCGGAGGAAGATGAAAAGAAGGAAGACAAAGCAAAAAGGAGAGGAAGGAAAGGAGGAAGAGAAGAGAAGGAAAAAGGAAGAGGGGATGGAGGGAAAAGAGGAGGAGGAGAAAGCAGGGAGAAGAGAAGAAGTGGAGGGAGAAAAGGAGGAAGAAGGGGAGAAGTGGAGGGGAAGAGGAGGAAGAAGAAAGTAAGTAGGAGGAAGAATGAGAAGGAGGAAGAGGAGGAAGAAGAAAAGAAGATGAAGAAGAAGAAAAGGAGGAAGAGAAAAATGGTGGAAAAGGATGGGGGAAAGAGAAGAAAAAAGAAGTGGTGGGAAAAGGAGGAGGAAGAAGAGGAGGAAGGAGAAAAGAGGTAGCAGCAACAATGATGACAGAGGCACTGAACACAATTGGGAGAGGGTTCCTAGATTACTCCGCTCCCCTTTAGCTCCAGTTGGGCCAGGTCCCGAACCCCCAGCCCCCAACTCCTCCCAGGAATGGCACAGACAAACCTTTTCTATTTTACTTCCCACCGTTTTGCCCTGATGATCCCTCTCTGTCTTCCTCTGGAAGCTCAGCGGTGCTGGACAAAGGCACGATTGACCCCAGGACCAAAGTCTTAAATGTGAAATGAATATGCTTCTCCAGCACTCACCTTAAGACTCTCAGAACTGCCCACTGGTCCATGTGTCCGCCATATGCAATCAGTGACTAGACCCCACCTGTGCCCATCAGCTATCGGGTCTATGGACACTGACTGCCCCAGCAGGACAAAACCCCCAAAGATTCCAGCAAAGGAAACCCACCCAGACCCAGGTTCCTGTTCCTGACCCAGGGCTCAGTCCACTGTTGGCTACTTTCTCCCAGGAGGCCTCTCAGAGCCCTGGGTAGGACTGGCAACCTTGTCTCTGGCACAAAGTGGAACTGGTCATGATCACGGAGAAACACAACCCTCACCTTGGAGGGGTTCTGCTCTAGTCTGGCATTTCTACTTTGGCTACATTGTTCAAAGTTCCTTCCAGTGGATGCCCGCTATCCAGTGCTGTGGAAGTGGTTGCTGTGAACCTGGTCGTGTCCCCTGGTGGAGGACACTGTGTGTTCTGGGGGGTGGGGGGTGCGCAGGGAGTACACTGTCATCTCCAGCTACAAGACTGCAGAGTGGGTGTCTGGGAGCCCGCTCTCCTCAAGCTTCAGCCCCAGGTTGTCGATGCCGATGACGGTGACCGGAGGCACGCTACTTTCCGCGGGCTCTGCCGTGCGTGTCGGGGCGGAGCAGTACAGGACAAAGCCCACCATGATCACGGTAAACGACAGGATGTAGAGTCCAGAAAACTGGAACAAGAGAAGAACAGGTGGTGAATGTCCTTCCTTGCATATGTCTCTGACCCCTAGCTTTGGCCAGCTGAGGTGGAGGCAGGAGGTTGAAGACTTGAATGCCAGTCTGGATTATGTAGTGAGACCCAGTCTCAAAAGTCAATGACAAAGCTGCTAGGCGCTAGTGGCTCACACCTGTCATCCTAGCTACCCAGGAGGCTGAGATCTGAAGATCATGGTTTAAAGCCAGCCAGGGCAAGAAAATCTATGAGACCCTTATCTCTAATTAACCACTAGAAAACTGGAAGTGGCACTGTGACTCAAGTGGTAGAGCATTAGCCTTAGGCAAAAGAAGCTCAGGGACAGAGTCGAGGAACTGAGTTCAAGCCCCAAGACCAGCACAAAAAAGAAGACAATGACAAAGCTGAACACTAGTAGTTCATACCTATAATCCTAACTACTTAAGAGGCTGAGATCTGAGGAGTTGGAGTTCAAGACCCAGCAATGGCACCACACAAAAAGCAAAAGTTGAGAAAGGTAATATGACAGTTAATATATATATATATATATATATATGTGTATATATATACATATACACACATAGATATGGATACACACATATACACACAGAAATATATACATATGTGAGTGCAGACAATGAATACCACTTGCCTACTTGCAGAATGAGAATGGCCAGCTCCTAATGCAAAATTCAGCCTCAGTACCAGGGAGCAATTTCCTACCTTCAGCCTGATATTGTAGCCCTTGACCATTCTCATAGAAAACAACAACAGCAGCAGCAGCAGCAATAATAATGGGCCTATCAAGACCACCTGTCTGCTTGCCTTTGACATTTTTTTTTTAATCATGCCAATAAGCTGTAAATGGCCCTTCCGTGTTAGCTCAGGAATACGTTAGCCAGCAAAATTGTAAAGATAACGGCTGGTTCCTGTCCTACACAACATACCAAGGCTTTGAAAAGTTTTACACCAAGCATGTATTCTTACTTGAACACAACCTATCTTCTTACCTTATAGTTAAATAGAAAGAGTCCAAAGAAGAGACTGTAGAGGTCAGCCGTGAGGATGCCCAGGTTGACAGAAGTGGCACTCGTGACTTGAATCACCAGTGGCATGAAGCTGTACAGGCAAAACATACAGAGGGCGAAGGCCACAAATAGCAGGGCTGCAGGGAAAAAGAATAATAATAAAATAGCTAATATGATTGGAAGAAATCAGAAGACAAATGGGGAAAGAGGAGCCAAGACTCAGCTGCCGTATCACCAACCCGCCCCCTCCCTAGCGATCAGCATTGCCAATGAGACTCCAAAGCTCTCTGGAAAAAGCTTGGGGAGTAAGATCACAGGTTGTGAAGATCTAAAAGGGTGTTAGAAGATTTGGGCCATAAAATCCTTCCTACGGTGGGACTGTCTTCAGCTCTTATGACCCCCAGGTAATCCTCCCTTTTAAGGCTGAGTGATACCTGAGATTAAAGGGCAATAGAACCGAATTAATGTCACCTGTCAAGAAACATCGCTTGTCATCTGTGCTTGACCTCTTATTTGTTTAGTTGGTTGGATATGATTTGAGTGACTGGATTCGGTATAAAGTATTTTTAGGACATCAAAGACAGATATTAAATCCATCGTATTTTGTCCACCTTACTAAATGTTACAAGAGAGCACAATGTAACCATCTTCTTTAGCACAGTGCTGACGGCAAGGGTAATAAATCTATCTTGAAGCCATTTTCATTTCATCTCATGCTCAATTCATATATGCATACAAAGACACGTATTTTCACATATTCTGGCAGTGTAGGTTATTAAATTATTCAAGCGTGGCATACAATCTTCAGTGACATGTATGTGCTATGTCACTTCTTTTTGCCCATCATGAAGTAAAGTTTGAATCTTTCCTAACATCTTCTGCTTTATTTCTGCAGAGGCTCAGGAATATCAGAGGAGAAGCAACGGGAGGTGATTTTTTTTTTGGGGGGGGGTCTGGTCGTGGGGCCTGAACTCTGGGCCTGGGTGCTGTCCCTCAGCTCTTCAGTTCAAGACTAGTGCTCTACCACTTGAGCCACAGTGCCACTTCCGGCTTTTTTATTCTTTTGGCTTATGTGGTGCTGAGGAATCGAACCCAGGGCCTTGAGCATGCAAGGCAAGCGCTCTACCACTGAGCCACCTTCCCAGCCCAACGGGAGGTGATTATAAAACCATCAGATGCTTCAAGTTAATTGCTTCCCAAATCACATCAAACAGATGACAATCTTCATAAATTTGAAGGCCTTAAGAAACAGATGTAATTGCCAACAATGCCTGGCAAGAAATAACTTTTATGGACATTCATCTACCACTTGTCAGAGAGAAAAGTCAACATACACAACTATCACTGAAGCGATTTTACTAGGCTATAGGAATATTAATAAAAATGAAGAATGTTTCTAGGGACACATTTTTTTTCATTTTCATTTTCTGTCAGTCATGGGGCTTGAACTCTGGGCCTGGGCACTGTACCTCAGCACCCAATTTAGGCATGCATTTTTGTTAGTTACAAGACTGAAAGAACTGAGCACCGGTGGCTCACATCTATAATCCTGACTACTCAGGAGGCTGAGATCTGAGGATCACAGTTCAAAGCCAAGCCCAGGCAGGAATGTCTGTGGGACTCTTATCTCTAATTAACCACCAAAAAGCTGGAAGTGGAGGGTGGATCAAGTATTAGAGCCTTAGTCTTGAGCAAAAAGGACAGTGCCCAGGCCAAGTTCAAGTGGACATGGTGCTATGGCTCTAAGTGGTAGAGCACTAGCCTGGAGCAAAAGAATTCCAGGGACAGCGCCGAGGCCCCTAGTTTAAACCCCATGACTGACAATTAAAAAAAAAAAAAAGAATTCTAACTTAAAACAATCATCATTGAATTACATACCAATTTTCCAGTCCCATTTTATGCTGGCAATATCTTTATATTCCACGATCAATCTAAGATTGAAACAAGAGGTAACAAAGATCAACACACAGATTTTTTTCTATTTTATCAGTAGTTTAGTTGCTATACTTCTACTAAGGTAAGAAATTATGTTAGGCCAGGCACCAGTGGCTCTCGCCTGTAATCCTAGCTACTCAGGAAGCTGAGATCTGCGGATCTTGGTTCAAAGCCAGTCTGAGCAGAAAAGTCCGTGAGACTCTTATCTCCAATAAACCACCAGAAAACTGGAAGTGGTGCTGTGGTTCAAGAGGTAGAGTGTTAACCTTGAGCTGAAGAGCTGAGGAACAGTGCCCAGGCCCAGAGTTCAAGCCCCACGACCCACAAAAAATAAAAATAAATAAATAAATAAATTATGTTGACCTTTGAAAATTTCTTAGAATAAAGCTACCCTTTACCAAAAAATGATAAAGAAGATGGGTGTGGTGGTACACGCCTATAATCCCAGCACTCGCCAGGCAGAGGCAGGAGGGTCACCAAATTCAAGGATACCTTGGCCTACATATTGAAATTCTGTCTGGGAAAATAAATGAATGGATGAACAGATGGATACATGGATGGATGGATGCCTGATTCTTTTAAGTATTCTTTCTTCCACAGTGCTCAGGTTTAGGACAAAAACCTAAAATAACGTTTTCCCTTGAATAAATTTATGAAGTTAATGTGTTAATATTTCCCAGAAATAACTGAAAGAGGAAAAAGTTCTGACTGGGAGTACTTTTACTACATTGCTATCAGCAGGCCCAAGCCTCCCACTCATGTAAGAAAATAAGACATCCTTTGCCCAGTGCTGGTTTCTCAGACCTATAATCTTAAGATACCCAAGAGGCTGAAATCTGAGAATCTCAGTTCAGTCAGCCCTGGGAGACAAGTCCCAAACATTCTTTTCTCCAATTAACTAGAAAAAAAAAAAGCCTAAAAAGTTGGGCACTGGTGGCTCACACCTGTGATCCTAGCTATTCAGGAGTCTAAGATCTGAGGATTACAGTTCAAAGCCAGCCCAGGCAGGAATATCTGTGAGACTCCTATCTCCAATAAACTACTCAGAAAAAGCCAGAAGTGGCGCTGAGGCTCAAGTGGTAGAACACTATCAGTAAGCAAAAAGAAGCTCAGGGATAGTGTCCAGGCCCTGAGTTCAAGCCCCAGGACCAGCAAAAAAAAAAAGAAAGAAAAAAGACAAAAAAAAAAAAAAAAGCTTGAAATAGAGGTGTAGTTTAAGTGATAGAGCCCCAGCTGTGAGCAAAAAAAGGTAAGTAAGAGAGCTTGAGACCCTGAGTTCAAGCCCCAGTAATGGCAAAAAAAAAAAAAAAGACATCATTTTTGGTATTTCTTCTCTTATTACTGGTTTCAAATGCAAGTCAAGACTAATCAGTACTAGTTAGTAGTTAGTAATCGACTATGATGTATTTAACTCGTGGTTTTAAGAATGATGTCGCCTCTTACAGCTGTATGCCGCTGATGATGGTGCCGAACAAGCCCACCATTCCTAAAAACTCCTGTCTGCTCAGCTTTTTCACGATGTATTCTTCACACACGTTAGAAACCGCATACAGGGAAGCTCCAAGCAGAACCAGTATATCCCCAATCAGGACATCACTCCCTGCGGGGACGTGAGGCACAAAAAGAAATACATGGTGAATGGGAAGTATAAACTCTCTTATTCTTCTCATGGTCTAGCACCATGCTGCTGTAGTTTTTCATGTTTTGACTTCTCAGGTAACTAAACTGAGTGGGAAATGGTGGTCTATGTGATTCTAGGACAGGACAATCCTAGCTGCTCAGGAGGCTGGGATCTGAGGACCACGGTTCAAAACCAGCCCAGGCAAGAAAGCCATGTGACTTTTATCTCCAGTTAACTACCGCTAAACTTCAGAAGTAGAGCTCTGGCTCAAGTAGTAGAGCGCTAGCCTTGAGCAAAGAAAGCTCATGGAGAGCACCCCAGCCCCGAGTTCAAGCCCCAAGACTGGCACACAAAATAAAGGGAAATAATTGAGAAGTATAGAAAAGGTTGTTTGGTGAGCACAGCAATTTTCTCTTGATCCAAGAAGACACTGAAGGCACTTGTAAATTGAGTGAACTCAGACCATGTCTAGATTTTATATTACCAATTATCAGCCTTTGACACAAAGTCTACCCAATGTTCTCATCTACAGAATGGCATGTAAGAGATTACCAGTGAACACCAACTATCCTTTTCCATTAAAACAAATATTCAGCTGGGGGCTAGTGGCTCATGCCTATAATCCAAGCTACACTGAAGGCTCAGATTTGAGGATTGTAGTTCAAAGCCAGCCCAGGGCAGGAAAATCCATGAAACTCTTATCTTCAGTAAACTACTCAGAAAAAGCTGGAAGTGGCACTGTGGCTCAAGTGGTAGAGCACTAGCCTTGAGCAAAAGAAATTTAGGATCAGAGTCAGAGCCCAGGCCCAGAGTTCAAATCCCAGGACTCGGGGGGGGGGGGGGGGGGGAAATTCACCAGGTAAGGCACAGCAGGTCTGTAATCTCAGCACTGGGGATGGGTAACAATTAAGAAGATCATAAATTTGGGCTGGGAAGGTGGCTCAGTGGTAGAGTACTTGACTTGCATGCCTGAGGCCCTGGGTTCAATTCCTCAGCACCACATAAGCAAAAAGAAAAAAGCCAGAAGTGGTGCTGTGGCTCCAGTGGTAGAGCGCTAGCCTTGAGCTGAAGAGCTGAGGGACAGCTCCCAGGCCCAGAATACAGGCCCCACCACCGGACCCAAAAAACAACAAAAAAAAGAAGATCATAAATTTAAGGCCAGCCTGGACTCTATAATGAGAACCTGTTTCAAAATTAAACCAAGAAACTGCTGTCTGACAAGACAAAAATGAAGCAATTTAGCATGATAAAACAAAGGAAAAGGAAAAGATTGCAGGCCACTTGGAATATAAAGACCATCTTGAAGAAGTGGTTACAAAATACCAGCATCTGGAAATAAAAATTGTAACGTAATTAAATAACGGAATAACACAAATAATCACAGATAAGATAAATAATTCACAAATTAATGATAAACAAATGAAATAAATAATTACAACGCCAGATGTTGAACTGCAGTGTCTCCGTCACCACTCTGAGACCTTCGACTCTACTTTGCACAACTCTTCTGTGATGAGTAAACACAGCCTTACCTGAATTATCATCTCTCCCTGCTAATATGTCTGCCCCAACCATGGTTCCCACACCTAGCAGACAGACAAACACAGCGATGAAGTGGATCACTCTGTATCTTGCGCGTAGAATAAACCACGAGAGGGCCATCAACACAGGAATCCCAAAGCAATCCAACAGCTACAAGGAAGGAAAAGCAAGCAGCTTCAAACATTGCTCACTACCTAGAGATTAAGTAATTAAGCACTAAGAGGACGTTATTGTCCAGGATACTAAGTGCTTTATGTGGGTTAACTTACACAATTCTCACAACTCCGTGAGATTGGAATTATAACCCCATTTTTTAAAATTAGGACTTTATTTTTGAAATTATAACCCCATTTTATACATGAGAAAGCAGAGGCACGAAGAAGAGGAACAAGTTACCCAAAAGCATAAACTTGAAAGTGGGAAAGTGGGGTCAAATTGCGGAACCCAAAAATTCTTCACCAAGGCCTCGGTGTTTATCCCTAAATCTAGGAGGCAAATTTCCCTTGCAGCATGCATCCATTACGCAGGCAACAAATATTTATTGAGAGACCATGTAAGAGAGCCGAGGATGCAGACTCAAGCTCTGTCCTCAGGGCTAGACAGGAATGGATCAAATAATCACAAATTCAAACATTTAATTGACACTGAGTAACGTGTTATAGGTTCCAGTGAGCGCAAATAGACACTGTGTTCCCAAGAAGTGCACAACTCCCCGCCACGCACCACCACAAGGGGAGACATTGGTCTTCTTGCTCTTCATCATTCCCTACTCCTCCATCACTACTGACCCTAGGCCCAGAGAGCAACTTGCTCCACTCCTGACACTGCCCATCTGAAAGGCAGAGGGATTAAGGATGTCAAAGTGATGGGGAATACAAAATCACTGGCCACATCACTGAGTGCTGGTGGCTTACAACTTGTCATCTTCGCTACTCAGGAGGTTGAAATTTGAGGCTCGGGATTTGAAGTCAGCCTGAGCAGTGTAGTCCTTGAGACAGCTACAGTTAACCAGCAAAAAGCTGAAAATGGAGCTGTAGCTCAAGTGGTAGAGCAAAGGAAAGCTCAGGGACAGCCCTTTGTCTCTGACTTCAAACCCTTGGACTGATACCAAAAAAAAAAAAAATGTACTGTACAGCAATAGTAAAGAAGGTACTAGGCTAGGAAGGTGGCTCAGTGGTAGAGTGCTTGCCTTGCATGCATGAAGCCCTGGGTCTGATTCCTTAGCATCACATAACCAAAAAGGCCGGAAGTGGTGCTCAAGTGGTAGAGCGCTAGCTTTGAGCTGAAGAGCTGAGGGACAGTACTCAGGCCCAGAGTTCAGGCCCCACGACCGGCCCCAAGGGGGGGGGGCGGTTAAGAAGGTACTAAGGAAGACCCTAGGGATGAAAGTCAGAGAGGAGTGGTATAAAAATTATTTATTTAGACTAAATAACATGTGGAAGAGAAAGTAAGACTAAATCAGGCCTTAAAGAATGGAGGGAGCCAGGCGCCGGTGGCTCAAGCCTGTAATCCTAGTTACTCAGGAGGCTGAGATCTGAGGATCGTGGTTCAAAGCCAGCCTGGGCAGGAAAAATCTGTGAAACTATTATCTCCAATAAACCACCAGAAAACCGGAAGTGGTGCTGTAGCTCAAGTGGTAGAGTGCTAACCTTGAGCTGAAAAGCTGAGGGACAGCGCCCAGGCCCAGAGTTCAAGCCCCACGACCGACCAAAAAAAAAAAGAATGGAGGGAGCAGCTGGTTGCCAGTGGCTCATGCCTGTAATCCTAGCTACTCAGGAGGTTGAAATATGAGGATCATAGTTCAAAGCCAGTCTGGGCAGGAAAGTCTGTGAGACTCTTATCTCCAATTAATCACAGAAAAAGCTAGAAATGGTGCTCTGGCTCAAGCAGTAGCACACTAGCCTTGAGCAAAAAGGAGCTCAGGGACAGTGCCCAGGCCCAGAGTTCAAACCCCGGGACTGGCAGAGAAAGAGAGAGAGAGAATAGAGGGAGCTTCAAGCAATTGCAGAAAAATCCAGCTGAGTAAGCAAAAAGGAACAGGCCCATTGGGAGGAGTGAGGATGAGCAAAGACAGCAGAAACTTGAGCCACAGTTGGGTGTCAGTGGTTCACACTTGTAATCCTAGCTCCTCAGGAGGCTGAGATCTGGAGGACTGAAGTTGGAGGCCATCCAACAGTTTACTACACTCCATCTCCAAAATAACCAGGAAAGAAAAAAAAAAAAAAAAAAGCAGGATTGAAAGTGTGGCTGAAGTGAGAACACCACAGTTTAGCAAGCGAATGACCTGTATGCAAACTCCAGTACCACACACACACACACACACACACACACACACACACACCAGAAACCCAGGCCATGGGTACCAGTGTCCACATGACAAACTTCTCATGATCTGCCACATGACCATCTGCAGTGACAGAATCCTGGAAGGCATCTTAAGAACAAGGTTCCAAGACCATTGAATCCACACTTCCACATTAGGAGATTAGCAAAAGAAGAGATATACTCAAGTGGGAAAAAAAATCAGCTTAATTCCAGTAGCAAGTATCTCTGCTGCTATTTTCAGTCAATCTTTGAGACAGGTCTTCCTCCCTTTACCCTTTACCTTCCTCCTTTACTCATCATCCTCTTGCCTCTATCTCCTAAGTAGCTGAGACTACAGGCATGCTCTATCACACTTGACTAGTACCTAACTTTTGACAATAAAATGGTTTCTTTTTTATATTCCCCTGAGAAGCTAGGATGAAATAAATAGTTTTGATAGAACCAGGCATGAACTTAAAATTGCAACCGTGTTTTGCTTAACTGTGCTTAGACCTAACACCAATCCAAAACTTTTTACCACCCTTAGTCAGTTATCAAAGTTTCTAAAAATTGTGATCAAGTAATTAAAATATGTGTAAAATTACCAGGATAGAAAATGACTTTTTTTAAACAAATTGACACCTTGCTGAAAGCACACTTACTTGTGATTAATGTTAACTCTCAGCTTTTATTTTTATGAAATTGAGTGTTAGTGATGGCTAGTGACAACAAATCATTTCCTGTTCTCAAATGATTAACCCGTTCCAGTCAAACTCCAAGAAGTTTTCTGACCATAAGGCTCAGCACAATTAGCACAATGTTAATGTTAAAAAAGGGAAGAATTTAAGCTGGGCACCAGTGGCTCACACCTGTAATGGTAGCTACTCAGGAGGCTGAGATCTGAGGATCACAGATCAATGCCAACTCAGGCCAACAAATCCCAAAGACTCTTATCTCCAATTACCTAGCAAAAAGTGAGACTTGGAGAAGTGGCTGAAATGGTAGAGCACCAACAGTAAGTGCAAAAAGTCCAGCAAGAATACAAGGCCCTAAATTCAAGCCCTAGGAAAGCACACACACATATATATATACCAAAATAAACAAACAACAAAAAAATCACAACACCAAGTGCCAACTAAATATTTACACTTATTTTAGTAGAAACCATTTTCATCACTATAGCGTTAGCAGCTTTGAGAAGTGATTAATTGGTATACATTTTTCACTAATTTCTGGAAACATGATTCATGGGAACATATGTCCTCTGAAAACAGCTATCATCTACCTGCATTTAGGTTTTCTTCAAGGAAATGTATTTTCAGTACCAGTGAGTTAGCCCATATGTGTGTGCGTTCTCTTCTGTTGGTGCTGTTCAAAGGCCCGTCCTACCTGGACACTGGTGAGCGTGGTGTACTGGTACGCCCTGACAATCAGGTAATTTGCCTCCACATCCGCTAATCCCAGCAAGATGTACTTCCACCATTTTCTTTTCAGAATATCTAGAAGATTATCGCTGCCTATTGAAAGAAAGAGTCCGCATTAAATATTAGAAAAAAAGGATACAATGCCTGTTCATTTGAAGACCGGAAAGTCCATGCAAGCCTTTTATTGTATATTGCTCTTTTTATTTTAATATTTCAATTTTTTATGGTTATTATTAAGATGATGTAGAGAGGGATTACTGTTCCATAAGTCAGATAATGGATACATTTCTTTTTGGGCCACGTCACTCTTCCCTTCACTCTCTGCCAGTTTTCCCCTTCCCACTGTCCCTCCATTTCTGGGATTCTCCTTATCTCCCCAAACGACAGATAAATGAACCAAGGGGGAAAAAAATGTCATCTCTACCAACAACAGCAGGGGGAGGACGTGGCGCTGTGGCTCAAGTGGTAGAGCGCTCGCCTTGAGCTGAAGAGCTGAGGGACAGGCCCAGGCCCAGGCCCAGGAGTTCAAGTCCCACGACCAACAAAAACAAAAAAACAAAACAAAAACAAACAGCAGGGGGCAAAAAAACAACCTTGCTTCCATTTCCTAGAATTCATTTCTATAAATACTATTTGAAATGTTCAGAGGCATTGTGCATTTGAGTTCCTCCCCTAACAGTATTCTTTTGTTTCACTGTGTGTGAATGCCTAGTCCTGTATCATTTATCATTTATTTATTGTGTATTTTATTTTTATTTTTTAGGGTCCAGTCATGGGGCCTGAACTCTGGGCCTGGGCACTGTCCCTCAGCTCTTCAGCTCAAGGCTAGCGCTCTACCACTGGAGCCACAGCACCACTTCCGGCTTTTTTCTTTTTGCTTATGTGGTGCTGAGGAATCGAACCCAGGGCCTCAGGCATACAAGGCGAGCGCTCTACCACTGAGCCACCTTCCCAGCCCCCTTATTGTGTATTTTAAATTGGTCAGTCCTCATTTCTGTTACTCAGAACCCAAATTCCTTCATTATCTTAGCAGACATGAGTTGGTATTGTTGTTGTTATTGTTGTTTACGTTTCCTAATATTAAACCTAAGTTAGCCAGGCACAAGTGGCTCCCATGCCCAGGTAAATAAGAAAGTAATAAACAAATGTCTAGGATTTGTTGGGGAGCTGCTCCCCATGCTCCCGGCGAGGAAGTCCCTCTCTCGCTGGACATACCTGAGTTGAATGCCAGCATCACTGTATAAACCAGAAGCAGGAGGCAATAGTTGATAAAGCTCTGGAGCATGGGGGTGTTCACCTTGTACTTTTCTGCCAAGTACTGGCTCGTGATGGCCGTCCCACATATGCATAATGACAGCAGTTGACCCAGAACAATGGTTTTCAAAATGTTCCTAGAAAACAAGGGAAGAAATCAAGTCAACTATACCTGTCACACACACACACACACACACACACACACACACATACACCTTTTGCACTACGTGCAAAGGGAAATGCCAATTATTCCAAATGGTTCTTTAGTTCATTATATTGCTTCCTTCATGGGCACAAAAATTAAATTATGGGATATTTGAGAGAAGACATTTGTTATATTTCTGATACCCCCACCCCACATTCCCTGGAAGACACATTCTTCCTTTTCATTAACCATCTGTTTTGCTTAGTTATCTATGTAATACTTCTATTGGTATGTGTAGCATTTTCTTTAAAAGTAGTTCAAAGCCAGCCCAAACAAGAAAGCTGACTCTAGCAGCCTGAACTCAGGGCCTGGGTGCTGTCCCTGAGCTTCTTTTGCTCAAGGCTCTACCTCTTGAGCCCCAGTAAACACTTCTGGCTTTTTCTGAATAGTTCTTTTTTTTGGTCGGCCGTGGGGCTTGAACTCTTGGCCTGGGCGCTGTCCCTCAGCTCTTCAGCTCAAGTTGAGCGCTCTACCACTTGAGCTACAGTGCCACTTCCGGTTTTCTGGTGGTTTATTGGAGATAGGAGTCTCACGGTCTCTCCTGCCCGGGCTGGCTTTGAACCGAGATCCTCAGATCTCAGCCTCCTGAGTAGCTAGGATTACAGGCGTGAGCCACCAGTGCCCGGCTGAATAGTTTATTAGAGATTTTCCTTCACAGACTTTTCTTCCCAGGCTGGCTTCAAACTGCAATCCTCAGATCTCAGCCTCCTGAGTAGCTAGTATTATAGGCTTGAGTCACCAGCCCCTGGCCCCAAGAGACTCATCTCCAATTAACTACCCAGAAAATGGGGAAGTGGAGCTGATTGTGGCTCAAGTGGTAGAGTGCTAGCCTTGAGCAAAAAAGCTCAAGAACAGTGCCCAGGCCCTGAGCTCAAGCCCAAGGACCAGCACACACACACACACACACACACACATACACACATGCACACCCAGACACACACACACGCACACACACATATACACACATACACACATATACACATATACACACACAAGTATTTTATTTTTATTTTATTTATTTATTTTTTTTGTCGGCTGTGGGGCCTGAACTCTGGGCCTGGGCACTGTCCCTCAGCTCTTCAGCTCAAGGTGAGCACTCTACCACTTGAGCCACAGTGCCACTTCCAGCTTTTTCAGCTTATGTAGTACTGAGGAATCGAACCCAGGGCCTCATGCATGTGAGGCAAGCACTCTACCACTGAGCCACCTTCCCAGCCCACACACACACAAGTATTTTAATTTCTCCTTATTTGATGAACATTTTTACATCACTTCGTTCTCTGTAAGAACAGGATTTCCTCCACTGCCCTGCTAGAAGTGGTGATTTTCAATGTTTCCTGCACGTTAGAACCACAGAGCTTGCAAGCGGGTCCTATGCCAGAGCAGTCTTCAAATGAGACTCCAGCCCCAGCTGACACCTTAAAGCAGCCTTGTGCGAGATGGAAGAGAAGGACAGAGCCAAGCACTGCTCAGATTCCCAATCTTATAAACTCTGCAGTGGCTAATAATGTGGCTCAGTGGTAGAGTGCTTGCCTAGCATGCCTGAAGCCCTGGGTTTGATTCCTCAGCACCACATAAGCAGAAAAAGCTGGATGTGGCACTGTAGCTCAAGTGGTAGAGCGCTAGCCTTGAGCACATACAGGCTCAGGAACAGAGCCCAGGCCCTGAGTTCAAGCACCAGGACTTGCAGAAATCAATCAATCAATCAATCTGTGAATGCCTGCCTAACTATCACAAGGTCCTGAGCTCAGCCAACAGCAATGTATGTGTAAACCGGGGAGCTATTTACAAAACTAGGGGAGAGAGAGAGAGAGAGAGAGATGGGGGAGGAGGGGGGAGGGAGGGAGAGAGATGGGGGAGAAGGGAGGGAAGGAGAGACCAAGGGAGTAAACACCGATAACCCAACCAAATCCAGATTATTTTTTCACATCTTGTCACAGGCTTGAAAGCCTTTATAAACCTGGAGTGAGACTCCCAAGTGTGGAAGCATTCAACCCTGGTTGCGTTCCAAAATAGTAGAACAATTTAGCAAGAGCTGTCCTCCAACTATAAAATGTAAATCTCTCCTAAAAGAAAAAGAAAAAAGAAAAAAAGGAGAGGCACAGTGGAGTAAGATTTAAAATAACAGGAATGCACTTAACTTGGCTTCAAATCATGATGATCTCATCTATAATGGGAGATGGGGAGAGAGAGAGAGAAAGGCAGCTGGCAGAGGGGATGAGGACTGAATACAGAAAAGGAGACTGGGAAGGTGGCTTAGTGGTAGAGCGCTTGCCTTGCATGCATGAAGCCCTGGGTTCCATTCCTCAGTACCACATACACAGAAAAAGCCGGAAGTGGCACTGTG